GGCTGGTTTGTCGGCTCGGGCGGTTTGGGTTGTGGATGTTGTGGTGGGGGTAGTGGTTGTGGATACAGGGACATCGTCGGGGGTGGGTAGAGTGTCGAGGATACTCGGAGCCAGGGAGCCGTTTGTGGTGGGGGGTGTGGGTGGGGGCCGGTTGCGGGCGGTGCGGTAGGCTTTGTAGGATTCAAAGTCGATGGTGGTGTTGTATTTTCTGGCGGTAGGAAAGGTGAGTACAGGACATGTAGATTTTTACTCGTGTTTTTATAATCCTTGTTGTCATTTCAACACCATGCAGATTAACAGTGGATAGAAGATGTACGCATTGATATAGCATGTATCGTGCATGTATGCACATACCTCGAGTAATAAAAACATCGCGCCCTCACGGCAAGTTCGGCAGCCTGTTCTGCTGTACCGTTCACGCCGAGAATGGCACTCAGGCCAGACTGGAACTCGGCGTCGTGATCCCAGTCGTAGCGCTCAAGAGCAGCATAGACATCGTCCAACCCATCGGTGGCGACGACGCTCATGGCGGCTGGTGAAGCAGCGGCGGTGGATGGTGCATTGGAGGAGGGGAGGGGTGGCCTCGGAGGCGATGTGGGTGGGCTTGGGGCCGAGGCTGGAGCTGAGGCTGGTGTGAGGCTGGAGCTGAGGCTGGTGTGAGGCTGGAGCTGAGGCTGGTGTGAGGCTGAAGCTGAGGCTGGTGTGAGGCTGGAGCTGAGGCTGGTGTGAGGCTGGAGCTCTGTCTCATACCGGTAGCGGATCCACTTTTTGTCCCCCTCGCTAACAGCTCAAATGGGCAAAGGCTGCCAAGTTTCTTCTTTCAGCCCACGACCGTCAACTCATTCATCCTTCCACCTACCTCACCCACCCACACGCACACCCGCACAGTCACAGTTACCTCCTTCACGCCTTCCCCCCTCTCACACACCACTCGACCTCTCCATACCACCCACTACTCTTTTGTGCGACTTTTTTCCCCTTCTCTCTCCTCTTCTTCTTCTCTCTTTAACGCCGTTTTGATACCCCCAGCTCTACAGCTATGTCCGAGTTCATCGGGTTAGTTACAGCTCCGGTCATCGAGCTGGAGCTCCCACTAACATGCAGCGCCTAGTTCTCGCATCTCCCTCATCTCCAAGAGCGATATCCGGTTCGTCTGCAGCTTCTGCCACGTCAATTGACCGACGCGACTAACTCCTTGCACAGCTATGTGGGTACCCTCGTCGACATCAACTCAGAAGCTTCCACCGTCTCATTAGACAATGTGTGCTCGTTTGGCACCGAGGGCCGCAAGGGCGGCAAGGACGAGTATCCACCCTCGGACGTCATCTACGAGCAGATTGTCTTTCGTGGCAGCGACGTGAAGGATTTGCGCATCGAGGAGCCGGCAAAGGAGAAGGCCCCGCCGGCGATGCCGCAAGACCCTGCAATCATTGGCGTAAGTCACACTCACTCCCTCCCGCCACCCCAACCCAGAGTCCGATGATTAAACATTTTTCGGATGTAAATCATAACAATATCCGAGAGCGCAAAACCGTGTGGATATTTTCCGTTGCCTTCCTTCTGAGGTCTCACCAAGATGACATTTTTTTTCTTTCGCTAGCTGTTGCGCAAACACTGGCTAACAGCCATCTGTACAACAGGTTCAACAATCGCAGCCTCGTCAGGATGGCCCGTCACAAGATCAGCAACGTCAACAGCAACCGCCACAGAACTTTCCTCCCCATGGGCAGTTTCCACCAGGTGGCTACCCTCCTTTTGGCGGCCCTGGTGGCCCGTACTCGAACAGATTCGGCCCCCAAGGATTTCCTGGCGGTCCTGGATTCCCTGGGGGGCCACCTGGTGCTTTTGGTATGCCGCCGCCTCCATTTGGAGCACCTCCGGGCTGGTTCCCGCCAGGCCAAGGGTTTGCCCCTCCTCCAGGGCCCTTCTCGCCCAACATGCCTGGAGGTCCACCTGGGTTGCACAACCAGAACCAACCGCCATCGGGTCCTCGTGGCCCGGGCCCACAAGGCCAACAACCCGGTAAAGAGGAAAAGGCTGCGCCCGTGCAGCCAAAGATTGCAGAGGCGGATGGCGCATCCAAGCCCGCAGAGCTCAAGGCTGGTAGCAAGGCTTCCAACAAGACGCCCGTAGCTGCCGCAAAGCAAGCGCCGCCACCTCCTATTGAATCGAAGCCTGACGTCGCCGCTGCTCTGGCACCACCTCATCCTCAGCCTGCGGCAACACCAAAGGGCGGTGCCAAGAGCGGTCGTATCGTACCAGCAGTTCCCATGCCCAGCCCAAGGGCAACCAAGACTGCACCACACGCACAGCAAGCTGCTGCAGCACCTACAGCTCAAGCCCAAACAGCTGCTCCTCCCACTGCCGCCCAACAACAAAACGCCACGCAACTGGCGAACGCTGCTGTAGCCGAAGCCATGGCGAAACTCAATCTTCAAAACAAGGCCCAAGGCCAGCCTCAAGCTCAAGGCCAGAGCCAGACTCAATCTACTGCCCCAGCGTCAGATCCCCTCAACAATCTCGCACAAAAGGTCGAGGGCATGCGCGAACAGCAAAGCCGTCAGCACCGCGGCCGTGGCACTGGCGAGTCCCGCGGGCGGGGTGGCCGAGGCGGCCGAGGCGCTCACTCGCAACCTCATCATCCCAAGATGGAAGTGCCCAAGACAGATTTTGACTTTGCTGGTGCCAATGCCAAATTCAACAAGCAAGACTTGATCAAGGAGGCTATTGCTACTGGTTCGCCGCTTGGCGATGCTCTCACGCCCACTGGACAAGACGCTGCAAATGGCCATGCAAACGGAGAAGGCAAGGAGGAGGTTGTCATCCCTGTTGCTGCCATGTACGACAAGGGGACCAGCTTCTTCGACAATATCTCGAGTGAACTCAGGGACAGAGAAGAAGCAGTCACTCGACGTGGCCAGGAGTTCCGGAGTGAGGAGCGAAAGAAGAATTTTGAAACTTTTGGCGAAGGCAGCGTCGACAGTTACCGGGGTGGCTTTCGAGGTCGCGGCCGTGGCCGGGGCCGTGGACGTGGCTTTGGTGGCTACCGTGGTCGTGGTGCGCCTCGCGGACAGGGTGGTGCAGAGTTTGGAGCGCAGCCAGCCGCTTAGTGGGCAGGTGGCCCACCTCCAGACTTCAACATGGCTGCCGAGTCTTCGTCCAATGTGGTCGATTATCACTCCTCTTTTTGATCAAGTCTCTTCCTTCTGTTTTCTTCTCTAGCACTGTCGTGCGTTTCCCTGAGCGATCCCATGTGTACGAGTATAGTGTGCGTCTTTGTTCTTTTTCCCGCTTTTGCCCGATAGGCCTGATTGGACTGCTTCCGTTCCATGGAATGAGTAGTCCGCTTTTTATATTTGTTTTCTTGCTTGGCAGGCGTATATGGACTATATGCAATAGGGCGAGGGTATCAGGGAAAAGGCAGGATGTCGTACTTGAGCGAGCGGGCGTGTGGCTGATGATGACGATGATGACGATGGATGATTGTGCTGTGGGTAGGGTAGCAGGCCAAAGCACGAAGAGAAGAAGAAAGCAAAGCGAAGATATGAATACACGAAGGAAAGATAATGATGACATTGACACGGAAATTTCTACTGCGCTTGATTCACATAGTGATGTCTAATGTCTGCACCAGGAACTTAGCAGCCACAGCGTCCAAGTACGAGTCCGTATGTCTACGCAAATGCAAGAGGGAGTTGGATTCTACTATTAGATTAGGTGCTTATAGTTCGTTTCGGCAGATGCAGATGGGAGGAATAGTTAAGTAGGTAGGCTAGCTGCATAAATACAAGAACTCTTGCTCTGTCCTTGGGTAGCTAATGTAGTTTTGTAGTGTGGCGTGTGGCTAGGAAGGACATGTCCCGCCTTGTTGTTGTTGGTACTACAACATCTCTCTTCGCAGGAATAGATGGGCCCTGGAAGAGAAAGAAACAAGACATTTTGCGTGTAGCCTTGTGGGGATTTAAAAGAAGCTCTTTGGGTTGCTGTTCAGCGCCATGGAAATTCTTTGGAGCTGTTGGGCTGATATTGTACATGGTATCCCCTGAGCTATTCAAGGATGAGGATGGTATAGAGGGTAAGAAAGATCCTGAGATGTGCTGCGTGTCAGATAGAGGTTGCATTTTGTTGTGAAAGGGAGAAGGGAGCGGAGCTGGACGACGAGGATGGTGGTTGCAGATGAGCGTGTTGGTGGAACAGTGGCGATAAAGTGGGAGAGGCTGGAGCAGTGTGAGGGGAATGTGGATGGCGTTGGGGCTTTGGATAGGTATGGCTGGCCGTTTTACGGTCTGGAGGGAGAAGATTGACGATTGGATTAGGTTTGGGAGGGGGAAGCTTCACGGGATAGGATGGAAAGTGGCACTGTGATATATCATCAAATATGTACTGGCCCTTTAGCAAATGTACGAAATAAACCTATTCCTCCTCAATGCATCCGAACAGATCTCTGATTCTGATACAACAACCTCCATGACAACGATGACGCAACTCATGGCACTGGATCGGCCCGAGTTATCACCGTCAGCATTTAGCGCAAACTCTATCCAATGTAACTCAAAGCAGCGAATTGGGAGACACACGACTCTTCGCCGCGATTCGTCAAAGCCAGCAAGTTATGTGTTCAATTGGGGTTCGTTTTGCTCTCTGTCTACCAAATCACGTGCGTTGATGCTCCATCTGACTCGACGGCAACACATCCGCATCCCCCTCCCCCAGATGGAAAGACAGGGGGGCTTTGTCAGTCATCCTCAGGAGACGCAACGTCTTTCTCCATCTTCTTGACCCTGAGAATCCGCCAGACCCTGGAAAAGATCCCATATTGCCTCTAATTCGAATAGGAGCGACCGTTTCGCAAATCACTGTGTCTAGGTACTGGCTAGGGGGCGCATTCATTTTATCCCGCATTGTTCCGCGTACGCTATACGCCCACGATGGGGACAAACGACGCAAAAGTTGTGGGTGAGGCGCTGGCTAAAGTCTTGCCTCGAACGGACAGACCATGGTTTCGAGTGTCGTATTTGCTTCGGTTGAATATGCTTTTACTGATGCCGTTGATGTCGTCGGCTATTGCGGGTTATGATGGTAAGTTGATGTGCAGACATTCCTATTGCCTATACCTTCTTTGAAACAAACTGGTACAGCACCTACCGTACAGATGATACTAACACGAATTCCAAAACAGGTTCTCTGATGAATGGGCTGCAAGCCCTGCCGTCATGGAAACGAGACTTTGGAAACCCCCAAGGTCATAGCCTGGGCGCTGTAAACGCCGCACAGTCTGCAGGCTGCGTTGTCGTCTTGCCACTTGTCGGTATGCTTGCGGACGGGCTGGGCCGCAGGTGGACACTCCTGATAGGAGCCGTCGTCATTATTCTCGCGTCGGTTGTACAGTCGGTAGCCGTCAATCTAGGCATGTTCATCTTTTCGCGTGCACTGGTGGGTGCAGGTGCCATTACCATTATTCAGCCGAGTCCGCTGCTCATCTCGGAACTGGCGTATCCTACCCATCGGGGCATTCTTACCGCCCTGTATTGGACGTTTTATTATCTGGGGGCCATTTTGGCGGCATGGAGTACGTATGGATTGCAGAAGTGGAATCCGGATAGTCATTGGGCGTGGAGGGGCCCATCGATTTTGCAGGGCGGGTTACCTGTGCTGCAACTTTTGTTTGTAAGTTGATTTCTACGGGCGTGGTGAAAGTTTTCTTTGCTGATGTCCGACTGGTGTAGTGGTGGTATCTTCCTGAATCCCCGCGATGGTTAATCGCAAATTGTCGCTATGATGAAGCTAGATCTGTACTCGCAAAGTATCATGCCGGTGGGGACTTACAACATGCACTTGTTGATTTTGAAATGATTGAGATTACTCGGGCGATTGAGCTGGATGCTCAATCAAAGGATACCAAGTGGTCTGCTCTATTCGCATCAGTCAACAGAAAACGAATCTTCATCACAGTCTTTATTGGTTTCATGTCGCAATGGGCGGTAGGTCATGGATCGAACGAGCCATTCATGGTGTGAAATACTAACATTTATTCAGGGCAACAGCGTCGTATCATACTACCTCACACTGGTGCTTGACTCGGTTGGCATCACCAATCCCGATACGCAGACCCTGATCAATGGACTGTTGCAGCTATTCAACTTTGGCGCTGCTGTGATGGCTGCCTTTCTGGTCAATCGTCTCGGCCGGCGAACATTATTCAACTGGTCTGGTGTCGGCATGGCCATCTCTTTTGCCATCTGGACCGCCTGTTCCGCACGCTTCGCCATTGCCGGTGGAGAGAGTCTAGGCATCGCCGTCATCGCCTTCATCTTCATTTACTTTTTCCACTACGATATCGCATATACGCCGCTCGTCATTGCCTACGCTACGGAAATCCTGCCCTATAGCATCCGCTCAAAGGGTGTAAGTCTGAGTCTGGCCGTCATTTACAGCTCCCTCGTGTTGCTCTCGTTTCTCACGCCGATTGCGTTGGATGCTATCCAGTGGCGCTACTATATTCTCTTTTGCTGCCTGCTGGGCGTGTCTGTCGTTGTGAACTGGGTCTTGCTCCCTGAGACTCGGGGCCGCACGCTAGAAGAGGTTGCCGATTTATTCGAAGACAAGAAGATTGCACAGGATATACAAGAAACAAAGCCAGAGCCTGCAAATGTGGATCACGTCGAGCTTGTCTGCGATGTGAAATTGCAGAAGGGTCTCGGGTTTCCATGAAATGAAAGACATGGAATTTCCGGCTCGCGATTTTCTGCACAGTGAAGAGTGAGGCTCGTTCTTGGGACAGTAATAACGGTCGGTCAGAGTCGTTAGCATTTCTAAAAGACTACATATCCAGGGTATCATGCTCATATGCATCGCTAACAAAAAATCCACAACGAGATTCGCTCCTTCATCCAGACACCCAACGCTTGCGTGCCGCCTTCCCCGGCTTGGTATTGGCATGTTAACGCTTTTCTAGAATCGCAACCTTATCACAAGGCCTCCAGTCGCGCCGTTTCAGCATCCTCTCTCTTCCTCCTCCATTTCGGGCCCATTTTGATCTCCAACAACATGAGCGGTAACAGCATCGCAGAGATGCCGCCCCAGAATGTATACGTCCAGCCATCACCCCACGCCCGACTCATGCGATCGATGATTGAAATCATGATCGCGGCAAGCGAGCAGCGCACAAAGTTGGTGCAAGCCGTTGCGCCCGAGCTGCGCGATTGCAAAATGTCAATGTTGAGCGTCATGGTTGTGTTAAGGATGCCCATGGATGTCCATCCCAGACAGACGGAGAGAATGAGCGGGACGGCCATGTGTACGCGCGTCTGGATGGCCCAGCCCCAGCCGACTACACAGACAACGAAGATTGTGAGGTTGAAAGGCATAAGTCGCAGGCGGGCATACTCAATGGTGAAGTTGTCGCCACTGCGCCTCTTGATACGTGCGTATTCCCAGTCAAGGAACTTGCCCGTCATGACGCTGCCGATGATCATGCCAGCACCTACAGGGAGGTAACAGAGTCCGAGGACGGTCTCGGAGAGTTCGGGGTAAATTCTGGCAAAGGCCGAGGAGATGGTGGCGGTGATTGTGTAGTTCACGGCGTAGACCATGCCGGTGAAGCTGAGGAGGACAATGACATCCGGGTAGGTGAAGAGGACAAAAGGGTTGACCGAGTGCTTTGGCTTTGCGCGGGATTCGCCATCGGAAGCTTGCAGACTTGTCTTTTGTCCGACGATGGGCACGACGGGGCGAAGGTACGGGGCTACGGGTATGCTACCATTTCCTGCAATGGAGCGCAGTGTTTCTGGGAGGAATAGCGCGATGAAGAGAAGACAGACTGCAACCATGATGACGATTGCCCAGAAGATGGATCGCCAGCCCAGGCCTTGTGACAATGCACCGCCCATGGCTGGTGCGATACAGGGTGCAAGCATGGGCCCGAGATTGAACATGCCAAAGTATCCGCCTCTTTCCCGCGTCGTCGAGATGTCGCCAATGACGCCTGCGCCAAGGGCAATTGTACTCGCGCTTCCCCCAGATTGGAAACATCGGAGGAAGAGAAGAAGCCAGTAGGCATCCGTTGGACAGAGCGCCATGCCGATACTGGAGGCAACGAGGATACTCAAACAGACGAGATAGACCAAGCGTCGTCCATGGCGGTCGCTAATAGGACCCCAGAGCATGGGCGATATACCCTGGAAGACGAGGTATACAGTGACGGTTTGATTGATATCATCGACCGACTTGTGGAATGCGCGAGCAATGGTCGGTATAGCGGGAAAATAAATATTGGCTGGCAAAGGACTGCCGATTTTGATTATTATACATTTTCTTCCTCTCTCCTTTTCAATAACCGTCATACATACCTATAAAACCCGGCCAAAGCCACCATGGCAACAACCAACCACTTCTCCTTGGTCGAGTAGATACTATACGGGACCCCGACTTCGCCCTCCGTCCCCTCTTTCTGTCCATCATCTGCGTCTATCGGCGTAGCCTCGCGTTTGTCGTCCATGGAGATACCCATGCCGCAATTAGCATCCCAAGAAACAGTACCAAGCGTGATCGACAAGACACAATCCAGACAGGAGGGGCAAGCGTATA